AGAGGTCACTATAAAAAAAGATGGTTTAATTCAATATTTATCATTTCGAAAATAATTGAAATGTAAAATTGGTGAAAACAAGTGTCTGATACAGAGCGATAAAAAGAAGTGGATAAAGAAGCATAGGTCCACCATATGCAGTCATGCTTCAATAAATAAGTAAAAGTATTACTAATTCTAACTGTAAGTAAATAACCTATGCCGTCAAGCTAGTATAACATTTTTAAAATCATTTTTGAATGGACTGATAGGTCTGACCATCGTATGACTCAAAAACTTAGTGGAAATTTTCCCGAAATTAAATAAAATGATTTGAGAATCACTAAATTACTAAAATCCTATTCTTAACTAAATAGATTAAAAGTTAGCATAATCATTTCTCGTAGACTCAATGACTTAACATTTAACTATCAATTTTACAATTATAAGTTAATAACTTGATAACGGGAGTAAACAATAACAACAACAAAAACAACAAATGAATGAATCTTAATATATGAAACAATTTCTTGTGAATATAATTTTTGCAACTTGGTAAATGTTTATATTTTTTTTTCAAGTTCTATTGTAATATACTCTTTTGAGAATATGGTTCTGGAGTTTTAATGCATATCATCATAATAAAAACAATATTGTTAACATATCAATTGTTTTATGGATATGGTATGGTTTTTGCTGTGTCCGAGAACAAACAATAAAGTCGTATAATAAATATTTTAACGAAGAAATGTTTAAAACAATTGAAATCGAACACTTCAAGATAATATACACAGTACGAGTCAGAACGAAATCATTTAGCTGTGAACGCTCAGGCTCTTAACATCCATTGAAATTGACGGAGAACGTTTCACGAATCGCGGTAACCGTAGTCCGAATTTAAAATGTTTAGAGAAAAGTTAATAACTGCGGTCTGCTTAATTCTTTCGAATATCGTCACTTTTAATGCTGCTGTGCATATACCACCTGAAGAGGGGTTTTCAGCTAGTAATAACGTGTCCAACATCGGCTTCTATGAATTAAGACCAGTTATAATCAATTTACCGACTTGGTCAGTAGAGTTTAACGATGTGAAAATTAACATGAGCATGAAAGAAACGAAAGAAATACCATTGACAATAAATCATATTGATTCGAATTGGGGTGATGACTATGAGTTTCATATTATACCGGAGGACACAAGTTTGTTGGAAATTGACCATGTAATTCGTGCTGCTGATATACCCAAAGGTGTTAAGAGTTGGAGTGGTAATTTTTCGGTGACTGCAATTTTTTTGGGTGAAACAAAAGTCAAAGTGGAACTACATCGTCCAAATTATGCTCCAGAACGTTCAATGGAATCCATAAGTATTATTATTTTAAGAAAAGAAGGCGCTCTGGATCAAATATTTAAAGTATGTGTTGCGTGCCTTGTAATGGTTTTATATATAAATTTTGGTGCTGCTTTGGAGTTGGATGCATTGAAACGTATTGTACTGCGCCCAGTTGGACCTGCTATTGGTTTTATTGGACAATTTATTGTAATGCCGCTGTTAAGTTTTTTTATTGGTTATTTCCTGTTTCACGATATGATTGAGTTAAGACTCGGCTTATTTTTCACTGGTTCAACACCCGGTGGTGGTGCATCCAATATTTTTACAGTGATATTAAATGGAAATCTTAACTTATCTATTACAATGACTGCCATCAGTAATTTAGCAGCATTTGGTATGATGCCTTTGTGGATCTTTACATTAGGTGCTTTAATTTTTCATGATGGCAATTTTGCAATACCCTATGGAACAATTGCTACAATGTCCTGTTCATTGGTTCTACCACTCTGCATTGGGATTGCTTTACAAAAATATGCACCTGAAGCGACGAAAAAAATGTCGAAGCTATTAAAACCCATTTCATTGGCTTTAATCTTATTCATCACAATATTTGCATTCACTGTTAATTCTTACATTTTTAAATTATTTTCTTGGAAGGTATTTTTTTATATCCTATTAATACAGAGCTTTATTAATTTAATTTTATATTTATTAGATTATCATCGCTAGTAGCGCTTTGCCTTGGATAGGTTATCTAATTGGCTGGTTGTTGGCTACAATATGTCGACAGAATGCTAAGGATGCTCTAACAATAGCTATTGAGACTGGCATACAAAATACTGGTATTGCGATATTTATGTTGAATTTCTCATTGCCACAACCGCAGGCAGATATGACTAGTGCAGTTCCGGTGGCTAGTTCGATGATGACACCCTTACCACTTTTGCTCTTATATTTGATACGAAAATGCTTTTGCCGTACCAGTATTGAGGAAGTAGAGGAGGCTCCCACTAAAGAATTAGGATTAAATGAGGTCGAAGCAATAGTTGAAAAACAGAAAAGTAAATTACCAGTGGAAAAAAATACAAATTCAACATATTCTAATGAAACCACAGACGCGTGAATGGATTTTGACAATGACTCTTCGGATCTACAGAAGCCACAATGGGCCACTCTTGTGTTGAGTAGCATTATTAGTTTTAAATAATATTTTATTTATTATATATTTTATATATTACTTTACTTATACATATACAAGTATAAGTTTATATTTAATGTCTGTTTTTTAATTCAAATATTCTCATTTTAGAATGCGAGTACATTTGTATGTGTGGTGCTCTTAATTGGCATATAAGGCCTAAACAGACGTAAACATTATATTGCATTTATAATTATTTCATTTGGTTAGATACACATTTTTATCAGTTTGAAAACACGTGTATGTGTATGTAAAACTAAAAAACAATTGTTTTTATATATCATAATCGATAAGAGATAATTAAGTTAGTTAAGTTGCTTATCGTAAAAAATTTGTAGGCAATATTTTGACTTGTAATTTCGTCTGCCTGTAATCTTAAGTATAATTTATATACCTCTGTTAATTCTATAGAGAAAACAAATAAATACTTGATAAAGAAATTGTTATTAAACTCTAAAATTACTAAATAGAAATATGGAACGCTCATAATAATAACGAACTGAGATATTTAAAAATCAAAATAAATAAATTTAAAAATAGAATATATTCCTAGCTAACAACGGAGTTTATCTGATAATTAGCTGATCTCTTGTATTGTTTAAGAATAATATTTATTTCGATCACTTATTAAAGTAATTAATTTACATATTAAAAAGAACATACGACCGAATGTCTAATACCCTAAACTGGAACAATTTGAAATCAGATCAGTAAGGTGTTCATCTCTTTGGTTTATTTATATATTGTCCTTTTATTGAATTCTCTCTCACATTCTTCTTGAAGAATAGCTAAGATAAATGCTAATTAAATAATTTAATTAAACACTTCGAGTCACTAGAGAACATATCAAGAATCGGAACAGTTCAGTTAAAATCAGTATGGAGTCGGCTCGGCCAGCTTATCACACTATACAAACACTGATTACCTTTTGGCTGGCTAGGCCAGCTAATCACACTATAAAAACACTAATAACCTATTGGCCCCACTGAGATGTTGATCTAGATAGGTTTTAGTTATTGAAACTTTATATGACAACGGGACAATTCTGTATACTTTCGAGACAACAGAGCAGTAAGCTTCCGTTCTGTTATGTTCCGTTAATAACTAAAATAACGATTAACTACATAATTAAAGAGACTAGATACAATATCAAAAATCAGTAGGATTCAGCTAAAACTGGAATTGACTAGCCGTACAAAGTTTTTAAACACAAATCACATATCACTCTACCGATAGTTAGTCTGTAGAAGCTCTTTTAGATATACAAATCGTCTAAAGATTTTATAAAAATGGGACGATTCTGTATCGTTTAGGAAAATGGATCAGTAATCTTAAAGTTATTATCTCCATTCAAAATGGGAGGCATCGTCACTTAGTCATAGTGCGCATGAATTGATCTTATAAATTGAATTCTTATTAATTAAGCATTATATTAAACGTAATGTATATTATACAATACTTAAGTTAGATCTTATAGATAAACGTGGTATCCCAACGGGTCCATTATTTGAACTTAAATGGGTTTTGGGCACAAGTTCGCCATTTCAACCTAACCTAATTTAATCTCATGGGTTTTTGCTTGTTATAAAATAAGTAAAAACTAAACTCCTAACTAACAACATTGAAAACGAGTCATAGCAAAATTAATTATAAGACCGTTTTTTAAAGACGAACACCAAAAACAAGTAAAATAATTTGCCAGTAGCGCTAAAAATGGGCAATAAATAAAATTGAACAGACAAATTAAGAACAAAGGGGCTTGCTAACAGCACTAAAAATGTACGAAAGACTTCTTAAGATTAATAATTTATATGCAATAAAATTATTCATACAACAATTTTAATCTGAGTTCTATTCAGTATTTTTGAAAATAATTTTAATATATACAAGTAGGTGTGAACCGTTTTGTCTAATTGAAAGTTTTAATAAGATGTATAGTTTATACGATTTGATATTTCTCATTACTGTGTTGAAATCATTTTAATCAATTTAGTTGTATTTATCTATATTCTTATTATATATATAAGCAATAAAATATTTACTTAAATATAATAAACTGTATTATATTGTGACTGTATATGTATACAAATAAAACAATTATAAATATATATTATATATGATATATGATAATATATGATAACGGGCTTTTTAATAAATAATAAAAAGTTTTTATACATCCTATTATAATAAGAGGATATAATGGATATTAGTGTAATTAAAACTTTATTATTATAAGGCAAAAAAACTATTTTGAAAAAAAAAATGGGTAACTAATAAGAAAATTAATAAGTTCGAAAACTTTTTGCAATTAATATGTAGTAATATATAATTTATATGTAGACAATAAATAAATAATATATCTAATGGATTTGGATATTCGTTTCAACACATATATCATATATCTTTTATAGTGAATAAAATGTTAATACAAAAATAAGTCATAATAAAGGAAAGGTAAATAATAAAGCGCTTATTTAATAAAATAAACTTACCTTTATTGGCTTAATATTATTGCCTGGTAGTGCTGAAGCTAACCAATCATTTACACCGCCAGATACAGAATCCCACGAAGTATGTGGTGAATACACTGCAATAGATTCCTTCAAACACCGTGCAACAATGCGTTCCTTCCAATTACTATATTGATTTTTTAAATAGTTTATAAATTAAATTATGCAAAAAAAAAAAATTATTTTATGCACTAACCTTTGTGTTATACGTTTAAGAGATGCGAATACTGGCGGATGATAAGATATTATCAGATCAGTATTTTTTGACACAGCTTCCTCCATCACGGATTCAGTTAAATCATTTGTAAGCAAAATATTTTTAATACAGCTTTAATTAAACATAAATTAGAAAATAAAATTGCTTGAAAAAATTAAAATAAACATACGTTTTGTTATAGGGCTCTATGAGAAGACCCACATTGTCCCAATCCTCTGCCAAGCTAGTTGGTGCAAATTTCTCTAATTCATACAAAATACTTGTTAAACTTTTTCCTACAGCCATATTGGAATTGTGTTTTGGAAATAATTTAATTAAATTATTATTTGTTCTTAAAACACTTTTTAACATTAAATTGCAATTAGAAAACTATATTAGCAGTAAACCGGCGTGGAGCTTAATCATATGTATTACGAATATTTTGTAAAACGAACTGTCAAATTAGCAATGTTTACGAATGCGAGGCAAATGAAATAGAAGAAAATAACTTGGCAGCACTTTTAATAATACCAATTAAAAAGGGATTGGAAATCTGTATAAAATAAAGAATAATTAATTTAATTTAAAATATCATTAAAATACATTATTAATTTTGCATAAAATATAAATAATATTGTTAGAAATAATGAAATTATGTGTGTATGCGAAGTGTAGTATATTATAAATTGGTTTAATTAGCGCAGAATTAGTTTATTTTCTAAGTCCAAAGTATATGCACTCAAATTCCAATTAGCAGATATAAAATATATAAAATGAATCATAGTTTATTATATCCAATTTATTATATTCAATAAGAAAATGCCGCTCTTAACTCCCTCTAGAGTCAACGTATGAAAGGAGAGTAAGTCACATAGATTCTCGGAGGAACATCCAGCGTTCCTCCTAAACTATAAAAACTATAAATTATATATCTTACTGTAATCTGTAAGTAAGTTTTGAATAGTTTGTTGTTATAATAGGTTTAACGGTTAGGTGTATCATATGTTTTTAAAATACTATAATAATTTAAAGACCGTCAACTCTGAAACGTCATAAAAATTGTACATCTATCTAAAAATAATACAATAATGCTAATTACACTGTCCGACAAACTGAACTCTTTCTTCTTTTTTTGTATTTTGAATTTCCAACTCTGTGGCTACAAGTTTGGGAATATAGTTAAGATACTTATTAAACGTTGCAGAAGTTTTAGTATGCATAGTTCTATTTCTTCTGATATATCTAAAGTTGACATTAAAGTCAAGATACTTTCAAAATTTTACAATACTCTTGTTTTTAGTATTAGAGATATTCTACAGGAATTCTATTACAAAATCTAAGTAGAAACTTAACTCCATCTGGTATGGCTATATATAGACTAAAACAACATTCAGATCCAGATTCTTCATACATGAGTTTAGTCAGCGATATTTTGGTTGCAATATAAGTTTTCTTCTTAAATATTATGCTTATATTATTATTGTGTTCATTATTATGATTTGAATATTATTATTTTAAGAGTTATTATTATTTTGATTATTATTATGATAAAATATTATTATAACTTTTATTATTAAAATATTATTTTTATTAGTAATTATATTATTTTCTTTATTATATTAATATTATTATATTATTATTAAAATTATTATTATTCAAAGGAACGTGTACAGCAAAAAGGTTGAAAAAAGTAAATCTTGACAGAAGACAGCTGGAGCAAGCAGATGTATTGCGCAAAGATGAAGTATGGGGCTAGTCACCTAGATATAGGTCACACCGATGGAAGTCTGAAGTGACTAATAGGGACGCTATCTCGAGGTAAAACTAACGTAGTTCTGGAGTAGGACAAAGTCTCTAGGAATAAGGGGGATGGGGTATAGTCCTTGGAGTTGAGAACTCACTTTCAGGGCCGCCGGATCGTGGTCTGTACGTAATCATTACACTCCTCGCCGCAAAAAAATATATTCAAATGATCGATATTATTGTTAATTATAAAATTATAATTAATTTAACGTAATTTTTTTTAAAACTTAAAATGAGTATATGTTTTATTTTTAAAAATGTTAATGTCGACTTCAATTTTTATATATATTTGTATTTTGGCTGGGTTTTAGGTCGTTTTTTACAACTTTTAAATTATATTAAATAGAGAGGTTTTGAACACTATTCAATTGTAATAGTTTTCATTAAATAAAAGTCACTACCGTCATAAGTGACGTTAAAATCAAATTTAGTAATATTAAATGAAGTGAAACTGAATTTATGATTTAATTTATTTTAATATTATTTAAAGGTTATGAAAAACGTTCTAAAGCCTGACAAAACACAAATTATATATATGTTATGTAAAAAAATTCTCACAAAATCTGAGTTAGAGCTTCAAGCACCTCTTAAAGTTCATTTAAGATTTTCATACAAAATCTACATCAAACATCAGTATTTGGTATCGCTATGGCCCAGGCTTTCAGCTATATTAAACCAACCTAACCTTAGTTATTGTTAAATAAGAAATTCCAAAAATTTAAATTTTTAAAAGTAATTTGCTTTATTTAAGTATATTATATAATTTTAAATGTTCATTTTACATATTTTATTTTAATCTTAACGATAAATATATATATAAATAGATATTTGCATATAATATAATAAATTTGTTTATTTATTGTGTTTTATTTAACATAAATAATTTTGCTCATATTTTATTCACACAAATGCTTTGGTTATTGCTGCAATATTTATTTTAAATAATTTAATTTCTTAAATAGTCGATTTAAAATGTTATCTACCATATAAGTTAAACGTTATTTAACTTTAAATTAATGTTTTAACCTATAAGCCAAAATGTTAACGAGATAGTTATTGTTAATTACAATTAATAATTGTTTATACTAATTTTAATTATAAGCCACGCTTCGGTTTCAAGGCCTCTTAAATTTACATTTTTTTCTTAATTTAAAATTTAATTACTACTGTTTTAAAATTTAATTATTACTAATTTAAAATTTAATTTTTCTTAATTTTTAAATTATATTTATAATTAGTTCGGAAAAGGCATTTTTAATTTCTTAAGTCTTTTTGTTTAATTAATATATATTTAGTTTTTAAATAAATAAAAATTTATAAATTATAAATTTTTTTTATATAAAATTTATAAGTAAAACTTACATTAGTTATATGACTTACTAATTTTGATTTTTCGTATATTTATATATATATTAAAAAAAATATTTTAATTATATATATTTATACTTGTTTTAAGTTTTTAAGCGGTTACACCGATGTACATCTTTTTTGCAGATAATATACATATAAATATAATTTTTCATATACATATATAAATAGATTTATATATATATATACAAAATTTATATATGTATGTATATATGCTGCTACATATTAAAATTGTTTTACAGTCAAAAGTTATATGTACTTATAAGCAAATAGTTTGAAAAAATAAAATTACTTTATTAACAATAATTCCCATATATTTTATTTATAATTTTAGTTTTTAAATGTTTATTCTAAATAAAAATATTTCAGATAAGATATGCTTTGGTATATGGTTTACGGGTTTCTTAGACGTTTAGTTATAATTGTATAAATAGCACTTAGTTTATTACATATAAGATGAAAAATTAAAATGTACTTTTCTTAAAATAATTTA